AAAGATGATTTAGAAAGTATGTAGAGTGGACATCTGTTATTTTGGCTTCACATCTCCTGTTGGCAAGAGAATCCCTTCTTCTGGTAGAAGTTCCTTTCCTTGTGGTTTTAATGAGATCATCTTGACTCTTTCCACCACTGGAATCAGCTCATGACCCAGGCCTGGCCAGGGTAGTTAGTTACTACTTGACTAGTTCCTAGATGGGATGTGACCCAAGGTGGGGGATTCAATCATTCATAGGACTTTTTTGTTGTTGTTGTTGTTGGGTAATAAGTTATTTTCCTGTGGAGACTGGAAAGCTGGCAGGAGGTGAGTCTGATGGCAGCCACCACACTCCGTGTGCTCAGAATGCCCTTTCAGCAAACTGAAAGATAAGAGACCTGCAGCCTTTGGTACTTGAGCTTCCTAGTCAAGCAAGTATGCAGCTGTTTCTTTTTTAAAGTTTCAAAAACTTAACAAAATAATTTGACATAAAATAAAGTACAATAAATGTCAGGATCTGTTCATCTTACATCAAGAGCACCATGGGGAAGTATCAAAAACACAATTATTATAGTCATATTGACATGTTATCTATTAATACTGAGATTAGGAACCACTCCCAGAGAATTAGCTTAAAGGACATATTCCACCTTCATTCTCTATGTTCTCCTTACCTTTGAGATCCAACAGTTTAATTTAGAAAATAACTGAGAACATATAAATAATGATATGCCAGTAAGAATTTGAGTCAAAGTTCAGTTCTTGGGGAATATTTTTTTTTAACAGATAAATTGTGACTATTAAGTAATATGAATATTAATAGACATAGTTACAATGATGGCTTTACTCTAACCTCATTTTTGCATTTGTATCTATCATGCTTTATAAAATATTTCATGTACATTTTCTTAAATGTTCAAATGCATGAAAAATATGGTAGCTCAGCTTTGATCATTTAGTGATTGATAAGTTCTTTTTTTCCCCCTTTATTGTTGTGCTGGGTGGGGGTACATTGTAGCATTTATGAAGATTCTTACGATGTATCAAATATATTCTACTTGAATTCACCCCCCCCACACACTGCTTTCCTTCATCGCCCTCCCCATTCCTGGAACAGTTTCAACAAGTATCATTTTTGCATTTACATACATGTGTATGCATTTTTTGCACCATATTCATCCTAGATAAATTCTTGATAATATTTGAAGTAATCAAGATTTACTTATTTAAAATGCACCAAGTAGTAAATACAAAAACATTCAGATTATATAAATACGTTTTCCATCTCTCAGTCTCACAGGGCCTATGGAGATCATAATAATCTGAATGAAAAAATGAGGCAGTTATTTTCTCTGAGCAAAATACAGCAGGCAAGCACAAGGTACATAATATAATTTTGTGGTCACAGATATTGACAAGTGCTAGTAAAGAAACATGAAGGCCAATAAAAGCAGAAACAAAAACCAAAACCATTAAGTCTTCAAATATATTCATAGAATATACTTGGAAAATTTTATTACTCTATAAACTATATTCCATGGAAATGCTTAAGTTGAATGCTTGAGGCAGTTTATAAATTAAGTGAACCTCAGTAAACTCTAGAAAAATGGTATTTTCCAAGTGTTTCTTAATAGATATTGCCTTTAGGACTGATTCACTGAGCACCTGGACCAGGAATGTGCCCATGTTCCAGGTAACAAGCATAAGTGGTACAAACAGTCATTGCTTCAGTAATGTCACATATATTGAAGCAAGCTCATTAAACATGAGTTTGAAGTATTTTTAGTTTTTACTTTTACTTAGCTTATAATAAGGTCCTTAAAGAATGAGATCATAACTTTTTATGTCTTTCAATGAAATGTAGTATAAGGCTCAACAGTCCTCCTTTATTTGAAAACCTCCATAACTTTTTTCCAGTGTGTGTAGTTCGATAGGTTACACCAGCTACCATTATAATCTTAAGGTTTGCATTTATTTAACTACTGCTGGCTGGCTCGATTACAAATTTAATCTTTACTGAATTCCACTGATTCCTCTCTAAGCATTCTGTTTCTTGACCACCTTCCAACATAGTTTAAACTATTTGCTTTCTGCCTAGAAACTGCTTCATACTTTTTATTATTGTTACAGCAAGCTTTCAACTTATTTCTCTCCCAAAATGACCTTGCTGCTGGTCTTAAGAGAAAAGAGAGGGAGTTAGATGCAAATCCCAAATTTCAGCTCCAGAGCAGTTTTTCATATCCACCAGCCATTCCTTCTTTTCCCAGTCTTAGAGAGAGAAGGATACATCTCTCCTCCTCCTTAAAAAAGACCCCCACCTCTTCTGTTCTTCCAGCCTCATCCATGAACTTGCTGTGACAGTGAGCAGGTTCTACACCTGTCTAAAACCCAAAGTCTCCTCTGAACCAACCAACCTCCTTTCCTAGCTATTATTTTCCTCTCTTTGCATTCTCCATTTAACTTTTTTCTCCAACTGTGGCACTATAAACTGGATGACTCCTGTCTAACCTAGAAACTTATTAGAAATGTAAATTTTCAGAGTCCACCCAGACCTAATGTGTCAGAAACTCTGGCTGTAGGGCCTAACAATTTGTGTTTTAACACTGCCTCTCTGTGGAGTTCAAATGTACACCATGGTTTGGGAACCAACGCTTTCAGACCACATTGCTCCATGGTTCTCATCCTCTTTAACTTCTCTGCCACACTCGCCAGAGGAGGTGCTGCTTCTTTATGAAGTTTTCTTTCCTACTAGCAGCTCTAGATCCTTACCCTGTTTCTCTTCCTAGCTCTCTGATCACTCATTAACAATCTTTTTCTTAGTTACGAAAACACTGGTGTATTTACCAATGTTTCCCAAATCTTACCAACTTTGCTGCAGATTCCCTAGACCCTTGCTCACTATGTGATTCCCTCTTTGACTAAAGGTGTTAGCACCCAGCCATTTATTCAAGCCAGGAATTTATAAATGATGTTTTTCTCTTGCACTGAACATCTTGATATGTAATTGCTAACCAAATTTCACTAATATTTTTCTCTACAACAACTCTGAGACCTGTCACCTACTTTTTATTCCCAGGCACACTGCCAAAATAAGTATAGTCTAGATCATGACAAAATCCTGCCTGCCCACAGCAGCTCTTCTTGTAATATCCTCTCTTGAACATTTCTGGTTGTCCTTCTAAAGGGTTCATGCAAGCAAGTTATCTCATTCAAAATGAAGAAGACTTAAAAATTGACAAGATAAAAGAAATCAGGATAAAACAAATAATCACAACTCTAATGGATTCTTATTGGTTGAAGTTTAACATTGTGAGTACGGTGAGTTGGCTTTTAAGACAATCTATCCTTTCTGTCTCCTCTTCCACTACTTTTCTGGTTATAAAACCTTTCTTCCTTCCTTCAGAGCTTTTGCTTAATCTAGACAAGATTAATCACTTTTCTTTTTGCAGCTGTGGCTCACACTGTTTTCTCTGCCTGAAATACCCTTCTCTAGCCACATACTCCTCATTCATTTAGCAAGCATTAAGGATGTTACAAACTTAGGCAGGGAAGATGAATGAAGTACATCAGGTATAACTTGAGGTCACATACTCCGTCTAAGGGGCAGCGTCTGCTCAGGACTTGAAAATTGCTGCCATGTGAGCATTGCCTTTAAGAAGAGCTGGACATTCAGGTTTTTGATGCGACATTTCTAAATTTTAAAACTTTGCAGCAAGTATTTTAAAAATCCAGAACACTTCTGTGTACCATTGCGTATCTGCCAAATAAAACACATCTGCAGGCTGTCAATGTGTACCTCGATCTTAGTTCCACTGGGCTCTAGAGATTCAAAGGTGACTAAGACAGGGCCTCTGACCTGAAGGCTCAACTTTAGGCTCAGCTCATCATGCTAGCAACAGGCAGGGAAAATAGGCCCTTATAATGCTTTGTTTACATGTCACCTGCCAGAGTATATTCTTGTAGCTAATTATTTACTCCTTTGAATCACCAGATCCTACAGAGCCAACTGTTTTTTTCTCCCTGGTATTGGCATTACTAGCACACCGTCTGGCAGATAGTAGGTGCTCAACTATAATTATACCTACAGAGAGATGCCCATGAGTCATCTTGTGTCAACTTGATGTTATTTTGTATTTTCCTTTCCTAAACTGGTATTAGGCTTTGATTAGACCCCATCATATAACCAATGTTCTGACTAAAGAATTTCTCTCTCCAAAAGAAAACCTTAAAAATGCTTTGACTTATATTTCAGTTGTGTGTTATAATCCTGTACGTATGTATGTATATATTTATACATGCTCTTTGCAAGATGGTGGCCACAACAGTGACTATACAGAAGTAATTTTGGTAAATTTAAGACATTATTTTAGTCTAAGGTAGACCTTTTTGTCTTGAAAAATAAGGAAAATGTGTTCATTGTTCCATCTGTTAATTTTGAGATGTGACACTTTTCCATTTAACAAAACCACAAAAAAAAATCAGCTTTAATTTTTGCTATAGCTATCTAGCTTTTATTATGATACCCAAGCATGCTCATAAAACTAAGTTGGGTACTTCTGGACTGGGGAAGTAATTTCTGGTAAGCCAAAACACTCTCATGTACTACTAAACATTAGACTTAAGAGGGAATTGCTTAAACATCACTATCTGTTTCACTCCTCAATTGATCTAATTTCTAGACACCCCGGTCCAACTCTGTGCTAAGTCCTACATGGTCACGATCTGCAAATTTTATAAACATCAATCCTGCTGAAAAAGAAATGTGGTTTTGCAGTTACTTTGACATTGTTCAAATGAAGGAGAATAAATACTATGTTTTCCCAATCTATATGATGAGCAAGTTAGAATACTAGCTACATGTCAAATGCTAAAGTTTTATCCTACTATTTCAGTCCACAACTGTGTGATGTTACTATGTATGCAAATTTACCTCTACATGGACTCATATATTTAACATTGGCAGTTTATGTTTTGAATTCATTAAATATGTGCTATCAGTTACCAACTGTAAGGCTTACCTGCAGACTGTTGAAAATGACAAAGAGAACTAACATCCAGAAGTGTCTGTAGGCCATATGCAGTCCTCCCCAAAGCCATGTCATAGAAATCAGGGCAAAGAGGTATAAAATCAGTGGAATTTCTAGAAATCATAAAGAAAAAGAAGATTCGTTTCAGAGCATTGCCTAGTCACATGTAAACATACAACATTATTTTTGGCTCTTTTCTTATGATAGCTACTCTATGCCTAAGTATCCATTTTGAGACAACAACCTTAGAAATCCTATTCTTAATGTCAGGAAAGAGAAGGCACATTGCTGAATCCACATTGTTTCCCTTTTCAAATGGGTCTGTGGGTTGGCCTGGGGACAGGGAAGGATGAGACCTGTTCCTCTCCTTGACTACCACCTACTGGACTGTTCAGAAAGTACCATGAATAAAAATGGACTTGGGAGCTGTGCAAATCTCCTTACAAGAGTGCTTACCAGAAAACGTATGTAGCAGCATGCTCTTCAAATTAACAGATTCCAACCAAGCATTTAAAGTCAAAATTATATAAATTTTTTTTGTGTGTGTGATGGAAAGCACATACTCACTTTTTTTTTGACTGGGAAGATAGAAGAATTTATTGTGATGATAAAGAGCAAAGATGGAGTGACCAATTCAGTGTTCTCAACACTGAATGCATCCACCTATCATGCTCTCCTAAAATCTGTTCTAACAGTTTTAAAAAAAGACTTCTTCAGGACTCAAAGACTTTATTACCATTTTCTCCTATTTTGAATTTTCTTCATTATTTGGGTATTAGAGTAACTTAACAAAGGGATTCTAGTATTTAAATGACAAGTTATATACAATTTAGAAGAATTAGCTCTTAGCAGTCACAAATAAATATATTTTCTAGCTATTGGAAGATAGGATGACCATACAACAGACAACTGTAGTGACAGACCTCAAAATCCTTATGTACCCACTGTCTTCAACACCTAAAATCCTTGTGCACTATGGAAATGTGAACAGTTAAACAAAACTGTAACAATTTTTAAATTTTATTTTGTTTTGAAACAATCTCAAAATTACTGAAGAGTTACAAGTGGAGCACAATAATAAAGTTTTGGTTTTTATTAAATGAACCACTTAGAAGTTGCCAAGCTGAGTACTTTGCTATGTATTGTCTACAAAGACATTTTCCTATACAGCACAATATAATCAAATCAGGAGATTGCCACTGAAACATTTCTATTATCCTCAGATCCCATTCAATTATTCCAACAATTTCCTTTGTACAAAAAGATCCAGCCCTGAACAGTTGACACGTCTCTGTAGGCTCTTTTATCCCAAACTGTTCTCTATGTTCCTGACTTTATTAACCCTACTACTTTTGATAACTACAGCCAGTTTTTCTTGTAGAATATCACTAAATTTGAGTTTGTTTTTCTTATGATTAGACTTGGTTGATAAACTTTGGCAGAAACCACACAAGTGATGCTAGGTTCTTCTTATACCATTCTACTGAAGGGCAGAAGAATTCAATTTGCTTCATCAACAAAGAAGCTCGTTTAGGTCACTTGATTAAGGCAGAGACTGAGCAGATTCTTCCAGGTAAAGTTAGCCTTTTTTTTTTTTTTTTTGGAAGTACTTGGGTTTGCACTCAGGGCTTCATGCTTGCTAGGCAGATACTCTACCACTTGAGCCACACCTCCAGCCCCAAGTCAGCCTTTGCAAAGAGAAAAACCTTGCGATTAATAAGTATCTTGTGTGGCATTACTTGAAAACTATGTAGATATCTTTTTCTCCATCAAATGTTTGAGTTGTTGGTTTATTTTTATAATATGGACTCACAGATCACTATTTTATTTAGTGGGGTTTTATTCATTGCTATTATTTATTTTGAAGCCTGAACTGCTGCTAGTGGAAGCTGTTCAAGATGGTTTCTGTGCCTTTCATTATGTCTTCATCATTCTCTTAGCTGTTGCTTGCTTATTGACCCAAGATATTTTAAACATTCCCTACCCAAGCTCTGGTTTCCCTTAGGGGAAAATGGTATTTAGAAACCATAATCTGGGGCTAGGTATGGTCATTGCTTTTTGCTGCTCTTAAGCTCTTCTGGTAACCAGTGTTAGAAAAACGTATGTACGTGCATACTCACGTCACATATATATACACACAAACACATTTACATCTGTGGTAGTCCCCTCATATTCTTGGAGAATACATTCCCCGACCTCCAGTATGAGTCTAAAACTGTGAATGGTTCTGAACTATATATATATAATGCTTTTTCCATATATACATACCCATGATAAAGTTGACAGCTTTTGCCTTTTTACTTTAAAGGAGCACTTTATGGCTTCTCTGTAGTATATTCAAATTGCCAGCCTCAGTACTCTTGTGCTTTGGGGCTATTATTAAAACCCTTGTTATTGAACATAAGGAATGGAAGAATACTCCTACATATGCATGGAAACAACACAAGGAATCTCTCTGTATAGCTATCTTCATCTCAAGTTAGCAAAAATGCTATGTTATTCTTTTTATCTTGTTTGTTTTTTCTTCAACAAAACCTGACAACAAGAGGGCTGAACAGATTCTGCCCAGAGTCAGGCAGGGAGAGGGAAGGTGGCCAAAAAACAATGTATACACATGTAAATAAATGTAAAAATGATAAAAGAAAAAAAATATACAGGGTTAGTTAGGGGTGTAGCCTAGTGGTACAACATTTGCCTATCATGTATAAGACCATGAGTTCAATCAACAGCATCAGAAAAAAATAAACAAACACGAAAAAACTAAAAAAAATAAAATAAAATAAAAGAATACTCCTACAGTCATTCTGATCACAAGATGGCTACTAAGTGACGAAGTAGTGTGCAGAGCAGGGACACAATGGACAGGGGGATGACTCATGTCCCAGCTTCATGGAGCAAGATGGCATGAAATCTAATCATGTGATTTAGAATGGCATGCAATTTAAAACTTACGAATTGCTTATTTCTGGACTTTTTCATTTAATATTTTCTGACCAAGATTGATCAGGGGAACTGAAATGGTGACAATTAAAACCACTGATATGGGTGACTACTGTATATTTCTGTATTTTAAATAATGAAAATCCGTGGTTCACAATGATACTTCAAATTCCAATCCAACACCACAGGGTTAATTGTAGTTTTCTCCCTTTCCATATTTTATAACTACCTTCTGTGTTAGTAAGCAATCTATTTCTCATTATTCTCAAAATATTTACCTATTTGATTAACCCTTCCATATGTAACCAATCTCCCTTTGCTGTCACTCCTGCCCATGCACAGTTGGCATTCCAAACTCATTCTCATTCTGTCATTTCATGCTGGGCTGCACACCACTGCTCACCTAGATCCTCCTCATGGTGATTGGTGTTGACACCCCATGTTTGGACCCCTTCCTGAGGATGCATGCCTTGCTCTGCAGCAACTAATAGACTTAGGATGGAATTATTTGAGAAGGGAAAAGAAAGAACAAGAAGAGAAGAGAACGAAAGAGAATTAGGGAGATAAAGAGGAAGAAGGGATCTTCTTCTGAGAAGAAAGGTAGCATTATCACTGGACCGTGCTGATATCTTCTTCAGATATTCCCTTCATCAAAAACATACAAATTGTCTGAGTTATTGCTATAACTGCCCAAATAAAGTAGGCTTATGTTGAGGAATATATTTTGTCATTAATGCCTTGAGGCAAGACAAGAGAGAGTATTTAAAGATTGGAATTTTATCAGCATTCATTTTTGTTCAAGGAAATTACATACTTTAATAAAGGACCAGAAGGCTGATTTTTACTTCTGATGAGATCAGGACATTGCTGGAACTATGCTCACAGCATTTTTCAAAGATTAGGTATCAACTCTGGCAATTTCATTTTCTATTTCTACCATGTCAGTATACATTTCTATTTGCACTGTTTGGACTATGAAAGGACATACATATTTTATAAAAAAAATTAGGAACAAATTTCCAGAAGTTGGCCTGTATGTTCTTCTAAGTGCTTAGAGCAAAGCAAGTGCTATATGCTATAGAACTTAGTGGAAAAGCCAACAGAATATACCAGGAATGATTACAAGCACCCGTAGCCCATGATTTTTGCAGAATTCTGTTGAAAAGTGTGGTCGTTTGGCACTTCAGACCAGAAACTCTGCAAGGAAGAAAGCTCATTATAAATAACTCAGTGTACTCAACAGTAGACCCCATACTGGCTTTCCAGCAGTGCAACAGTAATAAGACATGATTTCAAACAGAAGAAACATCTAGAGGCACAAATGGATTTTGTGAACCCGAAACTTATAAAACTTGAGGCTGCTTTAAAAACAAAAATCACAAAATCATAATTAGGTTATAGGATCACAGAAGGTATGCATGCAAGTGAGACCCCTGAAAATTAAGCCCCATCAGTGTTATGGTTTGAATATGAAATGTCCCTCACAGGCTGATGGGTTGAATGCTTGGTTCCTCAGCTGGTGGAGCTATTTTGGGAAGTTCTGGAAACTAGGATTTGAGCCCACTTGGAGGAAGTAGGTCACTGGTGCTGTGCCTTTGAAGGTTATACTTGCTTCCCCGTTCCTTTCTCACTCTTTTCTTCCTGTCTGCCGTGAGGTAAACAGCCTCCTCCTCCACATGATTTCACTGTCATGATGGTCTCCCTCACTACGTGGCCTAGAATCAACGGAGCCAAGGACTGTGGATAGAAATCTCAGAACTGATGAGTCAAAATATGTCTTTACTCCCCTTAAGTTGTTTATGACCAGTATTTTGTCACCGAGACAAAGTCTAACTAATATAATCAGCTTTATTGTTAATCTACCTCTGACAGGCACCTTGTAAACACTTCCGGGCCTCAGTAAAGACAGAAAGGGGGTTGGGAATGGATAATGGCAATGAAAGTTGGGGAACATGTTGTTAACTAGCTACTATGAATTCCATTTGGCAAAATGAAAGTTACTGTCTCATTTAATGAAAACCACTCAGTTTCACATTTCCCAAGCTGCTTTTTCACATTGGGTGAGGTAATAATTTCCCTGTTGTATATAAGCCAATGTTTATTGAGGAAGACATTTATAATCAGTAGTGTTGGGAACAACTTATATTTAGGAATAGATTAGTTAATATAAAAC